ATCGACACCGAGAAGGTAATTGATTTGTTTGCTGCAAAGAAAGCTAGAAAACTAAATTTGATTTTGAATATAGATTTCTAATGAATATATATGATCATGAAAGACAATTTTCTTTCTTTTGTTATTTTTATATTTCACTGCTCCACCAAACCAAACTTTTCCGAAATTTTTTTCTGGCTACGGCCTTGTACATACATGCAGGTGAAGCTAATAAAGCGTGTTAATTAATAAAAAAAATTTAGGAGACTTCCGAAGGAATCAAGTTCAAAACTAACTCTTCACAAAGATGTGTGGATCATACACAGATTTTTTTTTGTTTCAGATACAAATTAGAAAATAGCTCGAAAGAACTGCTTTTGATTTACGCGAAAGAAATATACTATAATCTCAAAATAGTAGGCATTCAGTTCTCTGAAATGATTGACGTATTTGCCTAAATGTGTCTCTTGCAGTGGCGTAGCGAAATTATACTAAAAATTGAAAACGATTTATCGTTTCGTATGAAAATTGAACGTCGCCTTTTGTTTCCAACTATTTCATATTTTTGTCCATACTGTTCATTAACTGTTGAACCTTATTAGTTGTAAACAGTAAAGACATTTATTATTATTATTATTATATGAGGAGAAATGATGATGAAATATATACAGGGCGTTATAACGAAAACTTGACCCCCCTGTAAGTCAGAAACGGACGTGTAATTGAAAATTTGAAAGACCACTTCAATTTTTATTTCTAGGGGGACTAATGGGGAATGTTCCTCAATTTGGGTTACTACAACAAATGCAAGTTTGAACAAAATAAAGTTGAGTTTAATTCATGAGTTTTTCAAATTCACTTCGAAAAGTATTCATCATCTAGTTCCATACAATAATAGTCAACTTTCAAAAGCGTTCCATAGATTACTCTAGATGTCCGGAGTCATCAATCGACATTCCCAAACAATTATTTATCGCAGGTCTTCTAGATTTGTAGGCTTACTAGAGTACACTTTCGACTTCAGATGTCCCCACAGAAGGAAGTCCATCGGTGTAAGATCAGGTGATCTAGCCGATCCGAACATCAAGATGTGGGGGTGCACCATCCTACTGGAATGTTACTGTTGGTCGACCACTTTGGGGCTCATCTTAGAGGCTAACATCTCCGGAACGTAACTTCGCAAATCAATGCTGAATAGTGCAGTCATTAACACTATCACTGCCAAGTGTCTGGTATCACAACTCTGTCACCGAGTTGGAACCCGTCCAGCGAAAGCCGTAGAGATAACTTCACTTCTGTGGCAACACAAGGATAAGCTAATGCCTGGGGCGTTCTTCAACACTCTTGTAAATGTCAGTGCGACGCTAACCAACTACTAGTTTTGCCAATGGAGAACCTATAAATTATGGGTCAGACTAAATTCCTAAGCTCTTTAATGATGTACAGAAATGTTACATAATGAAACGTATAACATCACGTTCTTATATCTGACCAACAGACTAATCAAATTAGAAACCGTGACTCAGTTAACGTCATCACGATATAAATATTCAAATATTCGGAAGTGTTCTTAATAAGCACGTCAGTGGCGTACCGCAACGTAGCGGAAATCGGAATAGGATATAACTATAAATACGAATTGCGTTGCAAGTATGGAACTTGGTGAAGAAATTTGTACAGTTGGGACAATGAAAGTATGCAAATCGGAGCTGTGAAGTGTATATGTAACGGTTTTTACGACCGGTGTAACTGATGCTGTTTTATGGTTTATTATTATGTGGCATCGTCTGCACTTATACTGCCCTATTTTGAGCAGGGATCCTCTCAATGGACAGTGTCCAGGGAGACCTGTGCCGACCCCTACTCTGTTACAGTAGTCCTTCCGTTCTCTTTTCAGATGATCCTTTTATATAGGTTCTCCCCTGTGTGTTTCCGAGGGTATTTCCCCCGTACTCCTTTTGTTTCTTATAGACCAACTTCCTAATCTGGTTCCTTACCAAAGATTTTGTTGATTCAGGATCTGTATGTGGAGTTGATGATCCGTGTCTAGCACATTCATCACCTTATTCGATATCCATGATACGTGAGTGTTCTGGCCCTCAGTATAGTCAATCTCAGTTCCTCACTCCCAAACCATGTCATTTTTGAGCTCGTCAGTAGCCCAAAAGCAGCCTGGTTGTTTATATTAATCCGCTCATTCTGTAGAGGCCTCAAAGTAATGTTACTTTGACATTGCGGGATTGCTTACACTTCAACTTGGAGGGTTGATGTGTATTGACCCAGCGGGTAACTGAAATGTAAATTTTCACCCGTACACTGTATTACAGCTCCCGTCCCATGTTCGATTTTCGACCCATCTGTTCACCAGGGTTTTTTTCCAAGAGAGCAGAGTTTCTGCCAAACAGAGAGATGATGTTAGTTCCTACACATTTTCCGATATTTCTGTTTTGCCCGATTCCATGTAGGTCGGTGAATTTTCCAGACTGAATTGGCTCGTGACTACCCCGTTATTACAAAATGTAAACGAGGATGATTCAAAAGCGTTTCCAATGCAGCTGTTGGTTTGTTTTTGTTGTTTCTGTTTCTATTCCCGACAAATCAAGTATCTTACACCCTTCTTAGTGTACCTCTCTGTATCTGTAGAGTAGGGAGGGTGAGTGTAGGCTCACAGTACTCAAGCCACATGCGACCCATTGTACATCCTCCCGAGGAGTTGTCCTCCTAGGTCAACGACCATCCTGTCCTCTCCAGGAAGGTGGACAGGTCTCTGGGAGAAATCTCCTTTATAGTATTTCCAATACCAATTGGAACAGCACAGAGAAGGAATTCCCGCCTCGACATAGGCGTCGGCATATTATTTTTCAGTGGTAGTTTTTCAGTTACTTATTCTTACAATCATAGCAATTGATCACCCCATGAAAAAGTTATCTCAACTGAATTTTTCCANTCGATTTTTCATGTTACGTTTTTTTAAATATTTACACCCTATTTTCACCCCTTCAGACAGTTTAATAAACTAGGACGGTTCTGTTTTTTTACTAATTCAGTCAATAAGCGTATCATATTGAAAAATGGTAGGTCTGCAGAGTCGGTAAATAAAAAAAATAATAATGCGATATTTTTTTCTCAGTGTACTTTGTGGATGTGGATAACTTCACACCTATCGAGTATTCCAATATTGAACGGATTATTTGCGACTTTTATGAGACAGAAGGGTGCTACGGTTAAAAAGTTACAACACAAAATTAATGGCGCTTTGGAAATTGAGGTTTCCGAAACTTCTCTTCGTAGAATTTTGAAGAAAATTGGTTTTAAATGGAGAAGGACTGAAACTAATAGAAAAATTTTAATGGAAAAAATGGACATTAAAGCAATGAGGATCGAATATTTACAAAAAATCAATTATTTCCGTAGTCAACAGCTACCAATTGTGTCTCTTGATGAAACATACCTTCTTAATGGACATACATCTTGCAAGAACTGGACGGAGGCATCAACCGAGGGTTATTTAAAAATATTGCGAAGGGACCAGGACTCATTATTGTCCATGCAGGAGGTGACATGGGCTTTATACCTAATTGTTGGCTTATATTTAATTCAGGCACAACATCAGGGAATTATCAATCAGAAACGAATTCTGAAAATTATGTATTTATGGTGCACTGTTTGGAACCTTTGGTGTAGTAATGTAATAGGTAATAGGTTATAGGTTAAGAATGAACGAAATCTCGACTTTCAGAAAGGACAAAAACCCAGATAAATACAGCTCAGTTCCATACCACCAATATACGAGGAACTCTGGAAAGATTTTCAAGGAACTAGGTGATCCCTGCAGCGCGTTGGGACGGGCCGCATAGAGCATAAAAATGAAATTTTACCCTCCTGTTTCTGCTCTGGGACGTATTTGGGCAACCAACACCTCATTAATGTTTCTTTGCTGTCAGGGATCCGTTGCGGATGACTACAAGGTCTGCACGATCATTGAGTGTTATTCCACCCTTCACCATTATTGATACACCTCCAAATGGGACCTTTGAAGATAAGCAGCAGGAAATAAAACGTTCATTCTTTCTTCTGTATACTCTGACCCGAACGTCATTATCAAAAAAGTAAATTTCAAAGGTCACGTCATTATATTTATCATATTCTTGTACAAAATCATTACAAAGTAGTGTTTTGAGGAGTGTATTTCAAAGATTATACTAAAAAAAATTATATATACAAAAATAATGTATACATCTTGTCAAATATAGGAAGCGACTTGTAACATCATCACCACCTGCGTACATTACTGACAGAAAACGTATTAGGATAGAAAAGGATGAAATCTATCATGCGACTTAGTGCGCCTATTTGGGTTTTAGAGTAGCCTGAGAGTACAGCCTTCGCCGAAAGTAGCAATAAGGATAGATGGTTTTTTGATTGATGGTCAATTATTAGTTTAGTATGATAATGCGGTATTTACGTAAATTTAAATGAATTTGTTCACCAATCTGTATTGCATTTAATTTCGGGTTCATTAAGGAAAGGAAGAAAGGCTTATTCTGAAAATGTAATTTATTTGGGTTGAAGATTAAATTTCAAAATGAAAATTTCTTGGGCAATATTATATTTATTAGGATGAATGAATTCAAACATAAATATAATTAAAGTTGTAATCAAAAAATTATAAAGGTTCAACTCAAGACAGATCAGAATCGCTTGTAGAGTTATCACTATCCTCACTGCTACTATCGTTGTCACTATCACCTCCAACAATAATAATAATTTTGTCTATAGCGCAATCCAGAGCAATTTCAAGTAATTGTCATAATTCATTACGCTGTGATAATCGCCCGATTTTGTGTTGGATTTGAATTTAAAGTATGAATTTTTCACAAATCCATTTTCTCCTCCTGCATTCACAAAACCCGCCGCAATGCTGTACATAGTTTTCGAAAATTTGCGCGCCACAGGGCTCCGCTCCGGGACCGCAACGTCGGTAACTGTATACATTTAATTTCGCAGGTGGACAACGCTAGTTTCACCAACACCACAGTTCGTGTGGCGATAACCTTACCTCCGATCACGGGCGACGACGAAACCTACTACATTTGCGCCAAAGATGAAGATTCTGGGCCGGAGAAGGTGTTCATTCTCCAGGGCACCTCCGTTTGGTTGCAGATCAAGACCTACGAGAAGATGTTGCCGCTCTGGGCGTCCATTTGTGTGATCGTCTTCTGCCTGTCGTTTTCTTCGCTTTTCTCTGGACTCAATTTGGGACTGATGTCGATGGACAAGACGGACCTGAAGATTTTGTGTAACACCGGTGAGTATGTATTTTTTCGCAGGCGCTGTAATGTTTTCCAGCTCTTTCTAGTTCGATGTCGGTCTCTGTTGGATTCTGTGGATTTTTTGTCACGGGTTACATCAATGTAATCCGGACAAATTTAATACACAAGTGTATTAAATCCAAGAGGAACTACTCTGAAGGAGAAAATTCACCTTATTTTTCGAACAGACAGCTCATTTCATCACGGCTTTCGTTTTTGTTTCATCACAGTTTTTGTTTCATCACAGTTCTTGTTTCATCACAGTTCTTGTTTCATTACAGTTCTGTTTCATAACAGTTTTTGTTCCATCAGGTTTGTTCCATCACAGTTTTTGTTTCATCACAGTTCCTGTTTAATCACAGTGTTGGTTCAATCACAGTTTTTGATCCGTTACAGGTTTTGTTCCGTCACAGTTTTTGTTTCATCACAGTTTTTGTTTCATCACAGTTTTTGTTCCATCAGGTTTGTCTCATTACAGTTTTTGTTCCAGCACAGGTTTTGTTTCATTACGGTTTTTGTTCCATCACAGTTTTTGTTTCGTCACAGTTTTTGTTTCGTCACAATTTTTGTTTCGTCACAATTTTTGTTTCATCAGGATTGTTTCATCACAGTTTTTGTTTCGTCACAGTTCTTGTTTAATCACAGTGTTGGTTCAATCACATTTTTGTTTCATCACAGTTTTTGTTTCATCACAGTTTTTGTTTAATCACGATGTTGGTTCAATGACAGTTTTTGGTTTCATCACAGATTTTGTTACATCACAGTTCTTGTTTCATCACAGTTCTTGTTTCATCACAGTTCTTGTTTCATCACAGTTCTTGTTTCATCACAGTTTTTGTTCCATAAGGTTTGTTTCATCACAGTTTTTGTTTCATCACAGTTTTTGTTTCATCACAGTTCTTGTTTAATCACAATGTTGGTTCAATCATAGTTTTTGTTTCATCACAGTTTTTGTTTCATCATAGTTCTTGTTTCATCACAGTTCTTGTTTCATCACAGTTTTTGTTCCACCAGGTTTGTTTCATCACAGTTCTTGTTTAATCGCAGTGTTGGTTCAATCACAGTTTTTGTCCCGCCACAGTTTTCGTTCCATCACAGTTTTTGTTCCGCCACAGTTTTCGTTTCATCACAGTTTTTTGTTCCGCCACAGTTTTTGTTTTTGTTTCGCCACAGTTTCTGTTTCTGTTTCACCGCATCATATTTTCAATTTCTGGAGTCAGGGTATTTAGATATGTTTACGTGAAAGCAGCTTGCTCTTTCCCAAAATTTTAGGTTTATTGGAATCAATGTGGTTTATGACTACCAGCGGGGGCCGGCGTTATTTTCTTTAGGGCATGATTCACAACATTATAATGCTAGGGTTCTAGCTCCATTCATTTATTTAGTCATCTATCTAACTGGCAGCGCCCAAAATGCAAACATGAACATCATGACACGTGTTTCGACCACCAAGTGACCATCTTCAAGAGAAAGATCAAACAGTAATATTCATTACTACATTTGTTAAGTAACGGCCGAATCAATCAGAAAAAAAAGAGGTGTTCATTTTGTGTAACTGTCTCATGAATCATTGCAAAAGGTCATTAAGGAGCAGAAAATCAACTGAAAAAACGTATACCTTCCGAAACTATAGTGCCAATATTTAAGGTTTCAATTTAGCGGTGAAAACACATAAGTATAAAAACAGAGGGTTTTGCTTACTTACGTGACATGCGATACCGGTCGCTTTAACGAAAAAAAAATTGCTTAAAAGAGCAAAGAAGGACCACAACCTTTTGAAATTTTATTTTCCATAGTTTCGACAAAATAATTTGAGATCAATATGAATGCAATCAGGTTAGGTCAGGTTATGAAAAAAACAGTCTTAATCTTTAATTCAACAAACACTTTATTTTGAGATTTTCACTAAACAGTTACACAAAAACGTAACACGTTTTTCGCTATATAATAGCTTCCGAAAGCGGGCCTAGACGTGTTTAGACACGCCTGAAGAAGCTATTGTACAGCGAAACGTGTTGTGTTTTTGTAAAACGGTTTAACGAAAATCTCATCAAGTATCAGCCGATTCTATCACATACCTTAATCTCCCTTCCGTATCCCGCTTCCGTATCTCGCTTCCAGATCTCGCTTCCGGATCTCGCTTCCGTATCTCGCTTGCAGATCTCGCTTCCGGATCTCGCTTCCGGATCTCGCTTCCGTATCTCGCTTCCGGAATCTCGCTTCCGTATTTGCTTCGATCCTAGCGAAAAATTTTTGTTTGCTTCTATGTTGATTTTTTGTTGCTGGTTTTACTTTCCTTTGTGTTTGTTCTGGTTAGTTTGCTTGCCATATATCTGACCACTTTTATATTTTGTTTACAACTGACCCTCTTTGTTCTAGGCCGTTTGTTCCCGACATGGTTTGGCTATCGGTGCCAAAACCATATACATCACCAAGTTCGTTATGATTCTGACCTTCCCCTTGTCCTACCCCATAGCGAAGTCTTTGGACTTCTTGCTGGGTGAAGAAATCGGAAACGTTTATACCAGAGAAAGGCTAAAGGAGTTGGTCAAGGTAAGTGCATTATTTAGATATTAAATAATGAAAAAAAACTGAAAACATTTCGGGTTATTGATTCAAAGGTACAAGATAATAATAACAAACTTATCTTGCAATGCGATGACCTCATCTTGCATTTGCTTAGATGCCTTGCGGAACCCGACGAAATAGTGAGATGCCTTGCGGTACCCGACGAAATAGTGAGATGCCTTGCGGTACAGGACGAAATAGTGACATGTCTTGCGGTATCCGACGAAATAATGAGATGCCTTGCAGTACCCAACGAAATAATGAGATGCCTTGCGATACCCGACGAAATAGTGAGATCCCTTGAACAACTGATACCACTTTGGTGCACTCGCTTCACGACGAAATAGTGAGATGCCTTGCGGTAAGATGCCTTGCGGTACACGATGAAATAGTGAGATGCCTTGCGGTACCCGACGAAATAGTGAGATTTCTTGTGGTACCCGACGAAATAATGAGATGACTTGCGGTACCCGACGAAATAATGAGATGCCTTGTGGTACTCGACAAAATAATGAGATGCCTTGCGGTACCCGACGAAATAGTGAGATGCCTTGTGGTACCCGATGAAATAATGAGATGCCTTGTGGTACCCGTCGAAATAATGAGATGCCTTGCGGTACCCGACGAAATAATGAGATGCCTTGTGGTACCCGACGAAATAATTGCCTTGCGGTACCCGTCGAAATAGTGAGATTCCTTGCGATACCCGAAGAAATAGTGAGATGCCTTGCGGTACAGGACGAAATAGTGACATGTCTTGCGGTATCCGACGAAATAATGAAATGCCTTGCAGTACCCAACGAAATAATGAGATGCCTTGCGATACCCGACAAAATAGTGAGATCCCTTGAACAACTGATACCACTTTGGCGCACTCGCTTCACCATAACATCTGGTCAGACCAGAGTCCAAACAAGGTGGGTCACTTTCAGAAGGAGCGTATTTCAGGGCGATTCCCCCAGTCCCCTTTTTTTGGCATGTCACTATTGCCATTATCTGTGGCGCTCAGAAATTCTCGACGGCATAGCTGTGGCACCCACGTAAACCGAAGATATAAGATCACCCATTTGTTTTATATGGATGATCTTGAACTATATGCTTCTCAAGAAAAGGATCGCCATCAGTCCTTGAGGGTGGTGGACGAGTACAACGGTCCATCTCAAAACAGGACGATGCGGGAACTACGGAGAGGATGTTCAGCTCGTAGGTGGAACCTCGGGGTGGAACAGCGCCACTCACAAGAGATAATAGCAGTGGAGAACTCTCTCCGCCAAGTATCAGCACAAACTCCGACAGAGGTCATCGTCAGAACTGTCGGGGGAGAACAAAGTCGCTGCTGCGAATATGCTTTCCATTTTAATCTTACTCTTTTGGTTTCGGAGTAGTGAAATGGATCCGAGAGGAGCTGAATCAACTTGGCGTAAAGTCCCGAAGAATGATGCGTCTTCTTAGGAGTTTGTCTTCCAAATCGCCCGTTCCACGGTTGCACTTCCCCCGACAACAGCGAGGCCGTGGACTTTTGAGTTTGGAGTGTCCACATGACAGAACGGCTCTGGATGCTGCCTGTGGAGTCATCAGGAGTTCGGATCTCCTTCTCTGTATAGTCGACGACCATGAGTGAGCAGCAGGAATCGGAGGATTTCTCTTTAAGGTGTCTGCCCGAGCGGCTGATGAACTTGGTCTGGTTTTTGACACTGAACGAGGTGATCACAACTCTGTCACCGAGTTGGAACCCGTCCAGCGAAAGCCGTAGAGATAACTTCACTTCTGTGGCAACACAAGGATAAGCTAATGCCTGGGGTGTTCTTCAACACTCTTGTAATGTCAGTGCGACGCTAACTAACTACTAGTTTTGCCAATGGAGAACCTATAAATTATGGGTCAGACTAAATTCTTAAGTTCTTTAATGATGTACAGAAATGAAGACAGTAGTAAAAGTACCCAAAGGATACAGTTTATAACAAAAAGGGAAAACAGTCTGTTTTATTTTCGGGGAGAATGTTACATAATGAAACATATAACATCACGTTCTTACATCTGACCAACAGACTAATCAAATTAGAAAACGGTGACTCAGTTAACGTCATCACGATATAAATATTCAAACATTCGGAAGTGTTCTTAATAAGCACGTCAGTGGCGTACCGCAACGTAGTGGAAATCAGGATAGGATATAACTATAGATACGAATTGCGTCGCAAGTATGGAACTTGGTGAAGAAATTTGTACAGTTGGGACAATGAAAGTATGTAAATCGGTGTAACTGATGCTGTTTTATGGTTTATTATTATGTGGCATCGTCTGCACTTATACTGCCGTATTTTGAACAGGGGTCCTCTCAATGGACAGTGTCCAGGGAGACCTGTGTCGACCCCTGCTTTGTTACAGTAGTCCTTCCGTTCTCTTTTCAGATGACCCTTTTATATAGGTTCTCCCCTGTGTGTTTCCGAGGATATTTCCCCCGTACTCCTTTTGTTTCTTATAGACCAACTTCCTAATCTGGTTCCTTACCAAAGATTTTGTTACCTCCAGAGTTGATTCAGGATCTGTATGTGGAGTTGATGATCCGTGTCTAGCACATTTATCACCTTATTCGATATCCATGATACGTGAGTGTTCTGGCCCTCAGTATAGTCAATCTCAGTTCCTCACTCCCAAACCATGTCATTTTTGAGCTCGTCAGTAGCCCAAAGGCAGCCTGGTTGTTTATATTAATCCGCTCATTCTGTAGAGGCCTCAAAGTAATGTTACTTTGACATTGCGGGATTGCTTACACTTCAACTTGGAGGGTTGATGTGTATTGACCCAGCGGGTAACTGAAATGTAAATTTTCACCCGTACACTGTATTACAGCTCCCGTCCCATGTTCGATTTTCGACCCATCTGTTCACCAGGGTTTTTTTTTTCAAGAGAGCAGATAGAGTGTTAGTTTCTACACATTTTCCGATATTTCTGTTTTGCCCGATTCCATGTAGGTCGTTGAATTTTCCAGACGGAATTGGCTTGTGACTATCCC